ATCCATCATTTCCGAAAATGTCCAGGTGCCAGTATATACTGCTGCAGTGACGGCACAATGACTCACATCCTTAACACGCTCCCACGCCCATTATTCAGTGTAACAGCTCACCCTCCACAACCTCTCGCGGGCCGCGCTGTATCGGAATGGGGGAGGGGGTGGTGGGAACGGTGGGGCGGGCCTCGGTGTTTTTTTCAAAGCTGCAAGTCATGAAACCAGTTTAGTACGTTGTGACTAGCTTTTCGGTTTGGGGGGAGAGGAGAAGTTTAAAAGGAAATAGAATACAATAGAGAGGAAGAGAAAATATCAGAGTGCTTCACAGGTTGGAAAGGTAAGTAGCTCTTTCCTTACATACATATCATATGCGTATATACGTGCGTACACATACACATGTATCTATGGTCAAGGTCTTGATAGAAAAGCTATTTTTAAATGCAGATCTCAGTTAAAAAAATTCTTTAAACCTTCAGGTTGGAGGCCTATCTCTAGTCCTAGTGCAAACCTGGAATATTCTACTGCTTATGTCTTCCTCCTTTCAATTCACCTCACGTCTGCTCACAGTCACATACCGTATATTAAGATAATGTCCTGTGATGCAAAATCAATACACAAAAATCTGTTGCACTTTCATACACTAATAATAACTATCAGAAAGAGAAATTTTTAAAAATCTTCAATTACAATCGCATCAAAAAAGAATAAAATACCTTGGAATGAATTTTACCAAGGAGGTGAAAGATCTGTACACTGAAAACTGAAAGACATTAATGAAATTAAAGAAGACATTAAAGAAATTAAAGAAGACACATATAAATGGAAAGATATTTCATGCTCATGGACTGGAAGAATTAATATTGTTAAAATGCCCATACTACCCCAAACAATCTACAGATTCAATGCAATCCCTGTCAAAATTTCAATGTCATTTTTCACAGAAATAGAACAAACAATCCTAAAATTTGGATGGAACCACATACACCTATAACAGCCAAAGCTGTAATGAGAAAGAACACAGCTAGAGGCATCATGCTTCCTCATTTCAAATTATATTACAAAACTGTAGTAATCAAAACAGAATGGTATTGGCATCAAAACAGACATATCGTCAATGGAATAGCCCAAAACTAAACCCGCTTATATATGGTCAATTAATCTATGACAATGGGTAAACTATAGTATCTTCGACAAATGGTGCTGGAAAAACTGGACAGCCTCATTCAAAAGAATGAAACTGGACCACTGTATTACACCATACACAAAAATTAACTCAAAATGGATTAAAGTCTTGAATGCAAGACTTGAAACCATAAAACTCCTAGAAAAAAACACAGTGGTAAGTAAGCTCCTTGACATTGGTCTCTGCAATAATTTTTTGGATCTGACACCAAAATCACAGGTAACAAAAGCGAAATTAAACAAGTGGGACTACATCAAACTAAAAAGATTCTGAATGGCAAAGGAAGTCATCAATAAAATGAAAAGACAGCTTACTGAATAGAAGAACATATCTGCAAATCATATATCTGATGAAGGGTTAATATTCAAAATGTATAAAAACTCATACGACTCAATAGCAAAAAACAAACAAACAAACAAACAATCTGATTAAAGAATTGGCAGAGGAATTGAATAGGCATCTTTCCAAAGAAGACATACAAATGGCCAACAGGTACACGAAAAGGTATTCAACATCTCTAAGCATCAGGGACATGCAAATCAAAACCGCAATGGATACTATCTCGTAGCTGTTAGAACGGCTGTTATCAAAAAGACAAGAAATAAGAAATGTTGGCAAGGATGTGGAGAAATGGGAACCCTTGTGCGCTGTGAATGAGAATGTAAATTGGTGCAGCCACTGTAGAAAACAGTATGGAGGTTCCTCAAAAACTGAGAGCTAGAACTACCATATGATCCAGCAATTCTACTTCTGGGTATTTATCTGAAGAAAATGAAATCACTATATATCTTTTTTGAGTTATATATCACCCCATGTTCACTGTAACATTATTTACAATAGTCAAGTCATGGAAACAACCTAAATGCCCTTCGGTGAATGAATGAATAAAGAAAACACACTCACAATGGAATATTATTCAGGCGAGAGAAAAGAATGAAATCTTGCCATTGTGACAACATGGATGGACAACATTGAGGTTATTATGCTAAGCGAAATAAGTCAGGTAGAAAAAGATAAATACTGTATGCTCTAACTCATATGTGGATCTAAAAATAACAACAAACAAACAAACAGAGTTCATCAATGGGAAAATGGGCGAAGGGGTCAATAGGTACAAATTCCCAGGTATCAAGCTGATAAGTCCTGGTGATGTCATGTACAGTATGGTAACTATAGTTAACAACACTGTGTTACATATAAGAAGGAAGCTAGGAGAGTGGATCTTGAAAGTTCTCACCATAAGGAAAAAAACTGCAATTATGTACGGTGACAGATATTAACTGAACTGTGATGATCATTTTACAACATATACAAATATCAAATCATTATGCTGTACACCCGAAGCTAACATAATGTTCTGTCAATTAGACCTTTATAAAAAAAAAGTGGTGTCCTGTGGACACTGTTTTAAATACCTAAGAAAAAGTTACTCTCCTTGGATAATGCAAAACAAACAAACAAACAAACAAAACACACTAAAGACAAAAACAAAAAAACAACAAACGACAACCCTATTATTCTTTAAAATATTCGCACTCATCCATTCATGACCAAACAAGTCGCTCTGGTTGCACAGGCCCCTTTCATTCCAGAACAGTCCATTCAAATCACGTTTTTAACTTGTTTTCTAAAATTTCATGTTTCTGCATTTCTCAGATCCCATGTTTCTGGCTTGACAATTGTTAGTTACTTCTGAACTTCACAAAATACAGTGGCAAAATCTTTCCCTGTGAATTCCATACTTTTGGACGGTTTTCCTGGGTTTTTCATGCGCAGTGATTTGATAATGCTACACAATTTCCCTGGAAAACACGTAACTTTCCGCCTTACTTATACCTCATACTTCTTTACTCTTTTATTCTTTGAAATGAACGTTTTATTCTAACAGATTCCTACAGCACTGTCCCTGCTCACAGTCCTTTATCTCTGACAGCTCTGGAACAAACAGCTGGCTGAAGACTCTATCAAATTTAGCACCCACGAATGTCGATCAAAGCCACCGTGACCATGGGGATGCATTTCCAAAGTCTACAGACAAATGTGATTCACACTTAGTCACTGGATCCAGCCAAATACAATAATCAGGTCTAAAGTTTTTTTAAAGTTTTCGTTTCAGGATAAAGAATTCAAAGGTCTATCTTCCTTAATATCTTTGGGAAATGATCTCTTTGTATATAGAGTTCATTTGTAAGACGATATAACTTTTTCCTCTCAGTTACTTTCAGTACTGAATTGTACTTTTTAATGTTTAAAATAAGTTAAAATTCAATGTAAAAGTGCTACGCCAAAAAGTGTTACGGTGGGTATGGTGCTTAAACACAACCTATATCAAAGTGCATTTCAAGTCATGAGCTTGACGAGTCGATGGCAACTCCATCTTCTAATGGCTCAGTTCAGAATCTGTGAGCTCATCCCCATTCCTCTCTCCCTCTCACACGCATGTTTAAAATATCACGAATTCCTATTGGTCTCTTTCAAAGATGGCTCAGGTTCCAACCACCTCCATCTTACTCCATCTCGCTCCCCACTGGCATCAAGCTAGTTCAATGTGTCGTCATCTCTCAACCGGATTCCTGCAAAATGCTGTCTGATCTCCCTACTTCCGCTCTCGCCTTCCTAGAGCTTGTCCTCAACACAGTGGCCGCCTCAAGCGTCAGGTGCATCGCATCATCCTTCCACCTAAAACACCGCAAGGGCTACCGGCTTCGCTCTCAGTAAAGCCTAAGCCCTTACAAGGGCCGACGGCGCCTGGCTCCTCACGAGCTCCCTGACTTCCTCTCCGCTTCCTCTCATTGTCATTCATGTCACCCCGGCCCGGGGGCATGAACCAGCCTCAGGGCCTTTGAACAAGCTGTGGCCGCTGCTGGAATGCTCTGCCCCTAGCCATCCCATGACTAACCCATCTCCTCCTCCTCCCTAGCGAGGTCTTCTCTGACTATCTGCCAATAACAGCAACTTTCTCTCTCACCACCGACTCCATCTTGCTTATATTTTTCCCTACTTTTTTTTTAGAGCTATTTTATCACCTTCTTACATATTAAATAAATATTCTTTGTTTATTATGTTCATTGTTTATCATCTGTTTCCTTATGCAAAAATGAAGGGCCATCACACCTGTGATGTTTGTCTGTTCAGAAAAGAAATGTATATTCGTGTCATGGTTGGGTAAGCTTCCTCGTGCATTCCCGAGGTGTGAGAATCAACTTCGGCACATTGGTTCCAATGTTTTTTTAAATGTGACCTCTCACCTTGATACCAAAACTTTCCGGGTAGAGATTTCTCTTTTGAATCATGTTATTAAAGGTGTTCCGTTTTATCAGACATATGCTAAGCAGCAATGCACGCACAGATCTCTGACAGGTGTGGGATGGGAGCGGGCAGATCGAGACGCGAAGCTTTCCAAGGCCTGAGAGAAAAGGAAAGCACTGCGAAGCAGGCTTCCTCGCTTTGTCCTAAATAACCTTTCAACAGATGGCAGCGCCAAACGCGGCGCCCGCTGCCACCACAACCACTATCGCAGCAGCCTGTCCTAGAGCTCCGCCTAC